TCGAACTCATCCTTGGACATGTTTAAGGGCTTGGTGAAATCGTTGCGGAATCGCTCCCGGGGCTGAGCGTTGAAAGGCAGACCAGAAGGGGGCGGGGGCGTGGATCGTTTCAGTACGCTTATGGGGGTGTACAGCGGCTGGGGAGGAATGCGGACAGCTTTCCCCCAGCCTAGCTTCATTTCGAAGCCCATGACCACTTTACCTGCCATGAGGAAAGAAAAGAAAAAAAGAAAAGAAAAAAGAGGCAGGAATTTCATAGATGTTCATGAGTGGATGACAGGCAGCAGAAGCCCTCTTACTCATCACTGCGCAGCAAAGAAAGGCTCCATTCCAACAAAAATATGAAAATTAATAGAGTTTAAAAAAGTGACATAGTGCAAAAGACTTCTAATTAATTTTTCCTATACAACTGTCTAGAAATAGTTGTACCACATCAATCCAGATTAAAATCAGAGACTACCCTGCAGCACCCTCAAAAAAGCCCAATTTCCTCCAAATCATGCTGCTTGACATTTTTCAGATGAATAAATTATATTCTGGCTAAATCCCATTCAAGTTATCTTACGACCATCTACTATTAGCTCATCTTGGATGGTTTTCGCAGAGCAAAATAGATACAGTAGACTTGTTTTGATAAATAAAAAAAACATTTTGATGTTAATTCAAAAGTAGGACACCACAGTACATCTTAAATTGATCTAAATCGCATCCAATGTGCATCAAATCATTTGAGAGGAAGAGATCCACACCCATAACTCCATAACTCTCACAAAATCCGCTCCTTTGCTGAAAATATGAGTTTTTGAATGCTCTGTCCTAACCATGAGCTTTATTTTTATTGTGAGATTATGCAAAGCGTTAGATTTTATGTAAATTCCTGTCGCATTATACTGAAAATGCCTATATTTTCCCCCTTCTACACTAATTGCAGAAGCAGGAGTTGAGAATGCCCCTCTTGGTAAAGTCACGCAACATACAAAAAAAACCTTCCACACAATATGTGTGTGTGTGTGTGTGCTCCTGTCACACAGTGGAGTATTTTAACAACTCAGGTTAAGTGTCCATACAAAACAAACTAGAATCTTAAACAGAAAATACAGATACACAGAGATTCTAAACAATAACAATGGAAAAAGACAATTTTGTGCACTGTATGGATTTTCATTATCCTGACAGAAAGGGCGTGTGGGATTCCTGTAGTGCCACGAATCACGGACTTGTTTAAACCAATGGGAAGCAATACAGTGACCAACTGTAAGATGGCCGAACCAGTATATGGTTGATGGCACAAGATAATCCCACCCAAGCATGCTGCTATACCAACAGCTGCAATCAATGAATGTAGTTGGTCATTCCATCGAGGGTTTATCCCCGTCTAGTGCCCTATGGCAGCGTTTCTCGATCTGCTCCTCTAGGACTTCCAGACAGTCCACATTTTTGTTCCCTCCCAGGAGCAAAAACATGGACCATCTGGGTGTTTACAGTGACCAGTTTGAACAAACACTGCTCAATGGTGCTTGGGATAGGGCCCAGCACCCCACAAAGATGACTGGAATTACTGGTTAGAAGATGGATTAATTTAATTTGTGAAGTAAATTTTATGTGACAGATTATAAAAGACAGGCAGAGAAGGTCAACTAATAATCAACATCATTCGACCAACAGGGAGCATGAGCACATGGGCGCATGGGCACCGCTTACCGTCCAGCGCCGCCAGCGCCCGCTCGGCGTCTTTGCGCGTCATGAAGGCCACGAAGCCGCGGTTGGTGACCCTTGTGCGCTCGTCATCGGTGCGCGGCCACATGATCTTCACGCTTGCCAATGGGCCAAACTTGCCGAACTCTTTACAGAGCATTTCCTCGTTCATCTGAAACGCATCACCCCAAGGTCTTATTCTGGAATGAAACTAAAACTAAAATGCACATTAAATGCAGAAATTTATCGTCACGTCATCGGTTTCTGTTCTGCACCATTTAAACTAAAGACAGAAGCACATCCCCACATACCTTAGGATTAATGCATCCAATATAGAGATTGGTGGTATTAGGCATTCCAGGGTCATCGTCAAACACTGAGGGAAGGAGAGAAAGATGAACAAATATTCTCTGCAATATTAGTACTGTTTTCCAGCAAACTACAACAGTCCTTCACGAAGAGCTGCAGATGGGAGTCTCAGCCTTACGTGACCGTCGAGACTGTGGCAAGTCCAGGTCGGAAAAGCCTCCGGGGTCATTCTTCTTCCTCTTGTACCTTTCCTCCCGTTCTTCTTGTATTCTAAAAATCGAACATAGACGGAAAAAAAAAATAATTACCCCTGACCGCCACGGCACACTCGCTCACGAGTCACAGCTCCCCAGCTGCTCACGTGCAAAAAACCGTGGCCGCAAACTGACGTACTGCTTTAGCTCCTCTTTGAAGAGCTCAAGGTTGCTCTTCTTCTTTTCTTCGGTCTTCTTTTTCACGAGCTGAGAGCAACAGAACACAGGCAGGTGGTGAGCGAGACCTCGCCGTGCAAGGCGGTGGGGATGCTGTCGAAGGAGAGACCCCAGCAATGACACCTACTGGCTTCTTCTCGGGCGGCTGAGATGATAAGACATTCTGAGGCAGCGGTGCGAATTTAGTGGTTGGTCGGTAAAGTTTGCTCTTCTTCACCTCCGCAGCTTCTTCCTCTATTTGGAGGAGACAGATAAATTTAAAAAATTCTCGCTGCTCAAAAGGCCACTTTTGGCGGTGGGCCGATGCAGTTCCGCGGGATCGGCTTACCTTTAGTGGCGTTGACGACCCCCCCGCGCACAAACGTCTTCACCCCGCTTCTCTCATTGCTGTCGAAAGATGCCAAAAACTCCTCAAACACCTCAGCCGCCTTCTCTTCTTCCTGTTGGAAAGAGGAAAGCGCGTCATTCACAGCGCTGCCTCCAACAGCATCGGATAAGTTTGTTAGCCATGCCCGTCTATTATAATGTAAACATGAGCATTTCATGAACAATACCACCAAGACCTACCCAGCAAAATACTTATGAAACAGAAGAAATGGAAAATAAATGAAATCATAGATAAAAATCCTACTATGACCACCTAAAACTATATTAAGATGGTAAGCAACGGTCAATCTGAAAACTCAGATCTGATGACAAATTAGGCAGTTGAAGCTAACGGACTTGCAAAAAGAAAGTATAGTAGAACAATTAAAGCTTGCTACTACTTCCATTTATATTTTTAACCTAAATTCTCTCTGAATTGGGAGTAATCACCTTTTTCTTCAATTCCTCTTGTTCTTTCTTGGTCAGGGTCCTCTTAGCGATTACGTGTTTCCCTTTTTTGTCAGCCATATTCCCACTGCAGCAGCAAAAACAATTTTTTTGCACTGAAAACGCATTATGCATTTATCTGTTGAGTGCAGATAACTTTTAAAAGTCTTGAAGCCATTCACATATTTTGTTTTCCTTGCGTTCGACTGCAGCTGCTTAACACATTAAGTAAATATACAGTTAGGACACATGCATCTCACTGCAAGGGTCAAAAAGCAGCCTTTAAGTAATTTTAGTACAATATAACAACTGTAACTAATACAGCAACAGTTTCCGAGTGTCGATCGGGCCTGATGGTCTCAGTGCCCGGCGTCGGTGTCACACATAAACACCTGTAGCGCTCAGGAGGTGTATATCTTAAAAACACAGACATTTAAAGAAAACCGTGACAGGGATAAGTTAAAAATCAGAAAAGCCACAAACAGCTCAATCACAGAGGCAAACTTGCAAAAAAAAGGGGGGGGGAGAAAACCCCACACGTAAGTCAGTGTTACGAGCACGCCTGCTAATGGTATTTTCAGCCAACGAAAGCAAATCCATCACCAGAGATGTTAGCTTAGCCCGCTATGCTAACTAATTCCGAGGGCATAACCGAAACTGTGGGTGCTCAAGACCGCCTGCCACAATAGCGCACATTTACACCGCGGCATGGTAACGCGAAACCCATCTTTTCGTGACCAGATTTCACAGAGGCTAACAGGCTAAACAGAAAGCTACAGCGGCAGCGCAGCTAGCTGGCACGGCTCTTCTGCACCGTCGTGCAAAATAAACGCCGGAGATGCCCGTCATCCGAGACACGAATTACTTCAGCGGGCAGGTAACATATCACGCTTTGCAGAAAGTAGCAAAATACAGAGAATACGACGTACAGAAGTGTTACCCAGAGCTGAAATTACGCACAACCGTTTGTTATTGCTCCGCCATGTTGAATTTGCTGGATGTATGAGAAGCGGGCCAGTGCCAATCGAGGAGAAGAGGAACCGCATGAAAGTCCTCTTCTGATTGGTCCGAGGCGCCACTGACGTCATCACGGAGCTCTGCTGTCAAATGGCTTCATCTGTTTTGACACTCTCTTTTCTTACTATTCTTTTTAAGGTACGCACATAATTTAATTAACTTAAAAATGCAGCATAACATTCAGTCGCAGCGCGATGTTTATTGAATCTTTTACTACTCCAATATTGAAATAATATCCTTAGTGGTCTTCTTGACGAAAATCGGCATCTTCTTCGTATATCCTCACGCGTATTCTGCAACAGCATTGTTTTTCTATATTTTTCATACTTTATTACATTCTTGCCATACAGTAACCCTAATACACTCTTACATTTACACGCACTCGCTCCCTGTAATACTTAGGCGGACCTGGGTTATAGTTCTACAAAACAATGCACAAGTCCTGCCTGTAAAGTAAACGATAATGGAGTTGCTTACAGTATGTTTATTGGTTGCATATCTAGGAGAAAATTAGTTATGTATGTCAACCAACCGTAAGCAGGCTTTACGAACGTTACTAAGTTGCATTGGTATGCGATATTTACACCTGCTGAAAACGCAGACCAATGAAAACACGAGTTGTAGACAGTTCCATATATATTAACATGGGACCCATAATGTTTCTATTGCGCAAAGGGTAATGATGTGTACGTATCTTCTCAGCCAATTATCAAACAGAACTGCTTCGATTCCCACAATGCACCACGGGAACAGGGCAGAGAGAAACGGTGGAGGCGATATTGAAAACCCAAGATGTGTGGCTGTATGCTTTACTTTTTATTCCCAGACAGTTATTGTGTTTAAACTTAACGGAGTGACAACGTAGAATTTCTGTTCCTTATTTCATGTTAACGTATGTTCCACGTTTTCCAACCTTAGCTTTCTTTGACATTTTTATTTTGTCTTATCTAATTTCTTAAAAACCCTATTCTGTTGCTACAGCTGGTTTTAGGCAAGCGCCATATTGGACACCTGGAGCTATTGTCTTGGAAGTCGACTTGCGATTCCCAGGTCCAAATTACAGCGCACAGCAACGCCTACCGCATTAACGCTTTTTGAGGATTTCTTAAGACGTGACGTTTAATTATCTAAAATTCTCTTATGCTTCGACAGCAATGACGCCTCGTCAAGTTTATCGCTGAACCTGAGAGACGGCCCCGCCCTCTCAGCGGTCTAGAGCTTTGTATTTCTTATTCAAGATTCTATACAACTTGGTCACTAGGTGTCGCCTTTTTACAAATACAAAGACAGTTAAGAATGACAGGATTTATGGAACCAAATAATAAAACCTTATTAATTCCTGTGGGGAAAATCTATTTTCGGCGACCGCATCTTTTCTTAACGAGACGCACAGACAATATACATGTGGGAGCAAGCTTGGGGGTCACAGCACAGGGTCAGCCCCAGCATGCAGGGTCCCCGGTAGCTGGGGGTTAAGGGCCTGTTCAGGGTCCCACTGATATCTGACTATTCGGCCGACTTGCCGATCACAGGCGCAGAGGTTTGGTACGCGGAGTCACACACTGCCCACACACATTAATGTGCCAACACCTGTCTGTCGCCCACTGGTCTGATAAAATCACAGTAATAAAGTCACATTATTTTCTTCAAAAGAAAAATCAAATCAAATATGGCCTCAACGAGGGTCCTCAATACGGTCTATAGGTTGTACCCATGACTAACATATTCCACTACATAAATTTGTAAAGTCAATTTTCAACTTAGTATATATTTATTAATAAGTTCATTATTTGCTTTAATCCGTTTTAAAATAGATGCATAGCATTATGGATTCTACGAGCTTGTATGACAGACTCCCAAAAATCATTATTTCACCTTAGAAGTATTTAAATATGGAAGACGGCACGGTTTTATGCAACAAAGTTTCGTTCTTGCATAAATCTGCAACACGAGTTCCTTAAGCAAGCGCTATGATTTTTTACGTTTCTATTTTATTGGAAAAAAATCTAAGCTGGGGAGGCCTCGTTCTGTAGGTGCCAACGCCCTTTTATTTAACATTGAAATATACAATACAAGAAAAAATACAAAAGCGGATATTTATGTGCTGTGTTTTTTGTTTATTTGTAACATGTATTAATATGACATATAGAACAGATGCATAAATATCCTCATAAGCCTCACCTTTGCATTACAGTATCCACACTGATCGAATTAAATAAAGGCAATGAATGAAATGCACTGAAAACATGAATCAGTTTTGGATTTTAATTTCTTGAGCGGTACCTGTCTCAAGAGCAGAACAGCCGCTTTCCACCGCCCTTCCGAACACCACGTTTTCCCGACCATGCGCATGGGCGGGGGGAGGGCAGGAGGGAGGGTCACTGTTATTATTTTCAGAATAATTTCACACATGAAAATGGCGGCGAGTCAGGGAGGCGGAGAAGCGGCGTCGGCCTTGCATGCCCATCTGTACTGCAGCGGACCTCAATGGAACCCCGGCGTACTCCCGCATCAGCAGCAGCAGCAGCATGGCCACAGCGCCAGGAGCCTGGATCGCACCCTGGAAGATGCCGTGTGCTCGGGCGCTCTGAACCTCAGCGGCAGGAAGCTCAGAGAGTACCCCCGCATGAGCTACGACCTTACGGACACCACACAAGCAGGTGAGTTTTTAAAAGAGAAAGGCACGATCCCGGACCTGCATCATGCACGCAAATCCCCGTGTTACTCCGTGTCAAAATAACGACACATAATCGCAATTCATATAGGGCTGTCAGCGCTCATTATTACACACGCCGCTGTGGATTTTAGTTGTGTCAAAGACAGAATATTAATTCTCTATTTTCTCCATTCATGATTATGATAGAGGCTGTATTACGATCGTAGTATAATCATTTAGAGTGTAAGTGCAACTCCTGGAGTAGTGTTACAACATTGCAAGGAAATGAGTTAAGGAGGTGAATGTGCTCAATGGTGCCTGACATGTAAGCGCATGTACGCATTCTGCTTACACTCCCTCATAATAGCGCATAATATGTCGCTGGCGATCTATTAAAGGTGGACCCTTTGTTAATGCGCTACAGTAAAAATTGACATTTTCTTACGAAAGACTCGTGGTAGGAATCGGGTTTCTTGCTTTCGGTTTTCGGCTCCCTGTTAAACTGGACTTCTCCCTTTACCCCCTGGTCACTTTTACGCGCCATTAGTAACTCAAATCAGCTCTATTCACTAATTCAGTGTTTTGTGATTTTCGAAAGGGTTGTCAGTGGGATTCATAGCGTTTTATGTGGGAAATTAAAAGGTATAAGTCCAAAATTATGGCGCTGAAATGAAAGAAGTACAGTTATCGTTGAATATTTTAAAATAGCGAAGACGTCAACTGTTGTATGTATGTAATGCTGCCCGATTTTACGTAAAATACTTGAAATTACGTATTTAAAAATTTGGGGCACCTGTGCGCTATGGGGATGATGTAAACCCAGCAGGGTCCCTGTCTATGACCGCACCCCCAGAAGTCTAGGGGTCTGTCACGTCCCGGAATTGGTAGAATTGGCTATAGGGTGACCGCAGAGATACCCCCACTGAGCCCTGGGTGTCACAGCATGGTTTTCTGTCCATTGAAAGGATCCGCTTCTTTCACACTGGTGGGTGCAGACTGGAGACCTGCTAGAACAGGCAAGGCCTGGTGCTGCATGTCAGTGTGGTGCTTTTAAATTCATTCTGGAAATGTAGAAATAATGACAGCCTTTTCGTTGTGTCAGGGTTTTGTGAGTTACTATTACATAAAAGCCTTCTTATGAAGAAAAAAAGACTGTTGTGGGCACATTACAAGTACTGGGTGGGACTTTCACCCGAAAATTTATTTGGGAATTTATAGAAACTTACCGGGGAAATTCCCTTTTTTTTTGTAACAGGTTTTGTTTATAGTTTAATAAGTCTGTGGTATTAAATCAATATTAAATAAGGTTGAAAGCTCTATAGATGGTAATCCTATAATGTGACTGAATGGCTTTTTCCTGCTCCATGATCTTCATTCCTCCACTGTGATTGTATGCCTTCTGCGGAATATTAATATGTTTTGTTGCCAGAGCTTTGCTTGTTTTGAGGGGTGACATAAATGAATAGTTTATTTTGCTGGGGCTCTCACCGAGTGCTCAAACGCGACCAGCCCTTAAAAAAGAACAGCTCAGATGTTGACTTCATAATGGGTTTATTTTACTTTTGCTTTTTTTTTCATTTGCATTGAGTAGGTCGACCTCAACATGTGACGTTTACCCTTTCCCTTAACAGCACCATGGACTCCTCTAGTCGATAGACACTTTGCTCTGTGTCATGTAGAACAGATCCTACAGTAACTCACAGTCTTTTCAGATCCGCGTCTTTTCCTTTTCTACCTGAGCAGTTTAACGCTTGACTGAGCAAACAGCGTTGCTGACTAAACTTTGGTAGGAGAATCGCAGAACCTGCAAACGCTGCAGCCTTCAAGGACCCGGAGTGAAGACCCGTGCACTGCAGTTTTAGCTTCCCCTGCCCAGATCCTCCAAGCTGTCGTTCTGTACCCCTGCTGCGGCTTGGTAGCAGAGCAGCCATCTTGAATAGATTTCATCCAAAGACACAACTTATGTTCAAACTGGAATGAAAAGTGATTAAAACTATTTCTTGTAACTATGGGTAAGAGATTAAAAAGTCTTAATTTAGTAGATTATAAATGGACTTGTCAAAATCTATTTTGATTGGTATTTACTATAAATAAAAGTTCGTAGAATAATGTAATGCAGCCAGCAGATATCCGTAATGATCGATCTCCAGGCTTCGCAAGGCATGTGCTGCAGTAATTCTTCTGCTTGGGTTTGCACCGACACAGCCTGACTTAAAATTAGATGCCGGCTTTATTTAAAAAAAAAAAAAGAAAAAAAAAGCGTCATTGTTGCAACTGTGAAAATAGGGAAGTGTCTGTATGATAGAGCCATAGGGAACTGAATCAGCGGAGCTGTTGACGCCAGACAGCTCTGGGTTCCTCAGTTGCAGGGCCCGACCCCTCGCCATGCGACCTTGCTATGCAGAGTTGCAGCCTCACCCGCCATTCATGACTGCCTGATAACCTGTGATGTTGCTATTGTGCACGACTGCAGTTCACAGCGAGTGCTGAGCATATGAGCATGTACGGGTTAATCAGCGACTGCTATTAATGCAGTTTTAGTTTGATTGTGATTGTTAAGTTCTAAATGGTGTTACTAATTGATATGAAACAATACTCCCTTGAGGGTATTTGCAAAGTATTTAGAAGTAGTTAAACTGGCTCCTTGCTTGTGATGTTTGACCTTCTTTGACCCAGCAAACGATCTGCTAAACAAATATATGTAAATGTAAGTCAGTGCATTGTTCTGCACTTGTTATCTGCAGTATTTTGTCAAACGTATCACCATGAAGTAAGTCTGAACATTTTATTTCCTGTGTTTTACCAAATGGGAGTTTTTGGCTGTTCTGACAGACAGACAGACAGACTCAAACGTCTGAAAAGGTATTTTTAGGTTTGCCTAATGTTGTATTAATGTAGCTAATATCCATTTTGCATTGCACCTATGATTGCAGAGGTGGAAAGGTCAGGTTCAGAAATTAAAAATCCAGACCAAGGTTTTGTTTCAGCAAACCAATTGAGTATAAATAGTCATAGTGACATAATACTCAACTGGTTGGTTGAAAGAAAACCTTGGTCTGGATTTGTACTTTCTGAACCTGAACTTTCCACCTCTGCGTGGTTGTATCTGTGAGGTTTGTGTGAACACCTTCTGTGCCATCTCACAAGCAGCCATCTTGAATTCAACTCAATAATTACAAATGGAATGGCGGTCATGTGACCTGTCTAGCATGTTTAATTCAAAAGATGTTCAATATTTGGGTGATTCCAGACCTGACTCCCCCTGAATCGCTGGCTTGTGATTATTTGAAATTGACTCATTATTGCATCCGATTTTCACCTCCAGATAAGTTATACTTAGTGTCCAAGTCATATGATAATTATGATTGTATTTAAAATGAATTAAAATTGATTACATTGAAGGGGATTTCTTGCATTGTGAGGCCTCTGCGTTTTGGTGGTGTTCATACACTTTCAGATACTCTTCCCTGGCCAAGCAGCTACCAGCAAGGGAAGTGTCTGGGCTATTTATGAAGCGTAGCTTCTGTCTGAGCGGTCAGGTCTGTCGCGGAAGCAGTCGCCACTGATGAAATTCTTCGTTCAACTTCTCAATTGTCATTGTCGTCTTGCACGCACAAAGAGGGACAAAACTGAAACACGGACACGGTTACCTCTCGTAAAGACCTGTGAAATTAATGGGTGTCGACAGAGAAGGGCTGGTTTTTCTGAGATCATGGCTGGGATACGTAACCACGCCCCATATCTGGAGGGAGCATATCACTGATAAGACATTTGCAATTGGGGACAGGGACCGTGTACCGTGAGATTGTAAATTATGTAGATGATTGTTGAACCTCTCTCACTTTTTTTCTACGTGTAACAAATTAGACCAGAGATAAGTCCAAAAAAAAGTCCCAGTCCAAAGTTAGACCAGTATAGCATGGTCCAATGGTTGTTTAAAAACTGGGTTAATTACCTATAACTAATTGGCTTAACTGGAAGCAGACCTAATGCTTTGAGTCTTGAGTTTTACGCATTGCTCATGTGTCAGGCTGATATGATGTTGTGCCTGTAATGCAGCATAGATGCAAGGTGTCTGTGATGGCAGCGTAAGCCCACACAAAGCTCTTCTGAAGAGCCTTGACAAATATCTGACACACTTCGGGGTCTTCAAGACTGAAGGCGTATTAATAGGAGGTTTTAAGCTAAATCCATAGCAGCGAGCTTGGATATCTGTGCTATAAGTGGAACATCTTTGGCACTTAGAGGCATTTTAATGCTACTGGTGAGGCTGAAAAAGGCCCCTTCTGTGGTTTGGTGCCTCTCCACCATTTGCATTTAGCAGAGCAGCGTGCATAAACTGCCAGGAACAGCACTGAGCGGTAATTATGTCTTATGCTGTCATGAGGTGCTGGTGGCACCAGTGAGAAGATCCCTTTTCATCAGGAACATGGCAGGTGGCTGCCTGGAACAGTGTGACTGGCTGAGATTTGCATACGCATAATGGGTCCCAGTCACACCACCTGCACCCCTCCCTCCCTGAAATGGATTGTGCCAAGAAGGTAAAAATCTGCCACGGCATGGAGGCAGATGGGAGGAAAGGAGGCGGAGCCACGAGTGGATGAGTAGAAAAAGTGTGGATGGGGTTGAGGGTGGGAGAATGAGGATCAAGGTGACGGGAATGGCTACGGTGGAGACGGAACATATAATGAGAAAAAGGGAACGGAACGGGACCTGGATGAGGTGCCAGCAGGAGGAAGAAGGATGTGTGAGTGATGTCCTATCCGTCGTGCACCATGCTGTATGGCCCCGGGGATTCTGGGAAAGGCTCCACATTGCCACACGGCTGCCCGATGCTGCAGCTCCTGTAGACCAGCATAACATTGAGGGTGTGACCAACAGGACGACCGTACAGTTACAGTAATCACCACCCCGTGCTGAGTGCTTCAAAAAAATCAAGCTGTTCAATAACCTAGCAGCCCAATCTCATCATTTGCAAAATCGTCGGTGGGTTTACAGTCACTT